GGTTTTAATCTTTTGAGTTATAGCTTAAACGATGCAGAATTTCAAGGACTTTCAGAAAATTCCCATGTCAGTTCGTGTTTTTTTGTACGGCACGCGTTCGTCTAACAAATCCTCATTGAAGGGGCTAGTAATTAAAGAATGGTTGAATAGACAAACGCTACACTCTAAAAAATGCCATGCGTCTAACAAGACGTTTCATCCGTCTTAAGTCTAATTTAGACGCGTGAACCGTCTCATTCTAAGACACATGAGCGCATAGACACGGATGTGTCTGAAACTATTTCAGCGAATCCTGTTATAGATCTCTTTCGCTTACGGCTACATGCCTGTAGATTTGAGAACGGTATGAATTGTCGATTCTTTTATCAATCAAATTGTTAAATAATAATTTTCTTTTACTTATCAGACTTTAGGTTTTCTAAATTAAGTTCATCAGCGTCCTCTTTTTCTTGTTGTGCCTTAAGATAACATGAACCATTGGTTAGTAAAATCAAACAATTGCTTACTTTTATTTAAGTTCTTTATTGTCTGCATCTGCCGTTCATTTTCAAAAATGAAGACAAATCATACAGGCTATTCAATAATCCTTCAATATTTTTTTTTATTTTAGATATATATATATATATACATATCGTTGAGCTTTGTTCTATTGATTCTAGTCAAGCATTCCACTTGGCTGTCGAAGTTGAATTCAATCTGATAACAATTTATTTTTTAAATTCGAATTGAGTTTTTTCGGTACTTGTTTGTTATTGCCCGCAAAAATTTTTTTAATTTTTTTTTAAATTTTTTTCTAAGATGAAACATGTACTAGACATAATACGGGCATAATAGGAATGATAATAAGATGAAAGGATTAAAACTTAAAGGATAGGATAATATTAAAAAATTTAAAAAAAATTTGCGAGACGATAACAAACAGGTACCATTTTTTTCTCTTTTCATTTATTTATAGTTCGACTTATTTTATCTCATACTGCACTGGTGAATTCCTTAAGATAGAAAAGATTTTTATTACAGTGTTTCTCAATTTTTTATCTATTTTGAAGAATTGGAAGTGCGGTTCCTTCATATTAAGATTGAGTAACTTAAGATTTTCATTAGACACTCAATGAACTTTTCATTAAAAATACAGATTCGTGTTGGCATTACTGATCTACACAAAATGTTCACACTTCTTGTTATTGTATATATGAGCCCCAATCATTGGCACACTCATGAGTTACTTATGATGCTTATTGAAAACTCAAAAGAATATAGTAATTAACCATATGCAGGTATAGCTTCAAGTAGATTTATATTAAAGTTTGAAATGGTTTGACAAATATATAGATATTGATGAAACTGAAGATGTTTTTTATTCTTTTCTGATACAAGACTGTATGATTTTTTTTCAGATAATAAACTTCTTACAGATTGTTTGATGCCAAATTATTATAAATTCGTCTGTTAAATCAAATTTCATCATGCAAATGAACTGAAAAATCGAAACAAAAGCGAATTTAAAATTAGTTATTAAACACAATAAAATAGATCAAAAATATATATTTGATTTTAAACTCCAACATTACATCGAAAAAATTTTTTTATTACATATATATTTGTTAAAAACGCTTTTAGATACTGGAGCCATCTATGACCTCTTGACTTTGGGTAAAACGTATTATTTAAATATTTTACCTATGAAGAATATTCTCAATGAGCGAATTTTATAATTTTGTCTTCAATCGGAGCAAATTAAAACTTATAAAAAATTTCAAAAAATTCTGTAATTTATTTTTCTTTTTAAATGTCAATCAAAATTGCAAACTTGACATATTTATCTAAAAAAAATTGATAATGTATTATGTTGATGAACATAGAGAGTTTGCAATTTTGACTGACATTTAAAAAGAAAAATAAATTACAGAACTTTTTGAAATTTTTTATAAGTTTTAATTTGCTCCGATTGAAGAGAAAATTTATAAAATTCGCTCATTGAAAAATATTTTTGATCAGGTAAAATATTTATATAATATGTTTTTTCCAGAGTTAAGAAGTCATAGATAGCTCAAGTGTCTGGAAAAGACAGTACTAAGACTCTGAAATCGATTGGTGTGAACAGTCCGATCAGGACCGATTAAGACGCTCAAGTGTTCCAAATTGGTTATCCACGGATACTTCAAGTGTCTAAATGTGTCTTTAACCAACCAATCAGAAATAGCGCTAAGCGTCTTGTTTAGATGAACGAATCGTCTTATTTACACACTTCATGTGTCTTGATTTTTTAGAGTGTATTTGTTGAATATTACATAGTCGTTTTGCGTATATAATCTACGTTTTATGTAACTTTTACATAAATAAAATTATTTTTTTGTTGATTTTTTTCAGAATTGTCTTCTCAAACATTATGCGGATAACATTACACACAAATTTCAAAAAATGATCAATAATTTTTAACATTAATTTTCGTTTTCTGTGATGAAAACAAACAATCATAAGTTAAAAAATTATTTTTAATATTAGTGTTTTATTTATTTATTTTTTTCTATAAAAGTATTTTGTCTTTTTAATATTTGCGTTTAATTTCTTTTATATTAATATATAAAAATTAAAAAACTTGAATGTAAATATTTTCAAAACTAAATATTAATTTACAAAGGTTGTAAAAATTGAATATAAATTCTAAAAAAATATTGGAAAAAATATAGTTCTTTCTCTTTAAATTTTTATGTGACAATATTTTTATTTTTTCTCATTTCACCATATGAAAAATTTTTTGAAAGATCACATGTAGCTATAAAAGATTATTTAAAAAAAAATAAAATATTGTCACATAAAAATTTAAAGAGAAAGAATTTTTTTTTAATATTTTTTTAGAATGAATATTCAATTTTTACAATCGTTATAAATTAATATTTGGTTTTTAAATTGTTTACATGTAATTTTTAAAAAATTTCTATATATTAATACAAAAAAAATTAAATGCAAATATTGGAAAAAAATATCTTCATAGAAAAAGAAGAAAAATAAAATATTAATATTAAAATGTTTTTTCAGTTTATCATTGTTTGTTTTTACATTTTTATATTTTATTTTTTAATATTTATATCGTATTTTCTATATTTTCTATACGAAAAATAAAATTTGTTGATGTTTTCTTTAGCATCCTCATCAGAAAGACTTAATGAAAAAGCAGCATTATTTGAAGAATTCTAGAATTGAGATCTGGATTTGCCTTTTCGGAGGGGATCGAAGCTTCAGATCGAGCTGAAAAGGTGTCTATTCGATAGAGTTCGTCGATTTCTATCTATCTAGGTCATTTTCACCTTTTGATCCCTACTAGGAGCGAATCCCGGTGCGGTATTTGGGGCAAATACCAGGTTTTCTTGGAGTATTGGGATTTTAGGACGGATGGAAGCAGATACAATACCTGAAAAGGTATCCATTGGATAGAGCTCGTCGAGTTCTATCTATCGAGGTCATTTTCATCTTTTGGTCCCAACTGGAAGCGAATCCCAAAGCGGTATTCGCGTGAAATACCAGGTTTTCTGGGAGTATTGGGATTTTAGGGTGGATGGAAGCACATAAAATACCTCAAAAGGTATCCATTGGATAGAGCTAGGCGAGTTCTATCTATCAAGGTTATTTTCACCTTTTAGTCCCTACTGGGAGCGAATCCCGATGCGGTATTAGCGGCAAAAACCGGGTTTTCTGCAAATATTGTGGTTTTAAGGGTGGATGAAAGCGCAGAAAATACTTGAAAAGGTATCCATTAGATAGAGCTTGTCGAGTTCTATCGATCTATGTCATTGTCAGCTTTTGGTCCCAACTGAAGGCAAATCCCGGTGCACTTTACGAAACAAATCTGATTTTTTGCTTTTTTTTACAGTATTTTAAGTTTTTCTCCCACTTGGAATGGTTTTGGAGAAAAAGTAAATAGTACATTGGATAGAGCTCGTTGAATTTTATCTTGGTCCGCAGAGTTTCGCTTTTGGTCCCAACTGTGAGCGAATCCAGTTACAGAATACTCGAATCCAGGTCCAAGATATCTTACGTTATTTCTCACTAGATTCTAACAATCAGATTCATGACATTTTTAATCAGATAGATTTTGCTTTGTGTTATAATTATAACATCTAATCTAATTAGTCATGGACAGTGATTAAAAAAATCATTTTTTTATGATCCAAAATAAACTATTGGTGAAGTGTTATGTGTCATGATGAATAGGATGACGTTATGCTGACATGTAAGTCAAGTTTTCGCCTATATGGCGCAATAACGGTAAAAAGGAAAAAGAAAATGATTGAAAAGAAAAAAACCAATCTATTGAAGTAGGTAGTAATGATTCTCTCTATAATATATTTGAATGGCTTCACTCTCTCTGCTACTCGTTTTACCCAATTGATCTTCTATTCTATGAAAGGCGATGCAAAAACAGACTCATTTCATTTATATTTCAGACAAATCATCGATTCTCACCGTAGTGTATCAAATAGTTTTTACAGAAAAATCAACTTTAACGATTTCTCTTTATATTTTTCAGATTCTTCTCTAGCTGATTGTGACAGCAGTGTTCAGACTTCCTAAAAAGGAACTTTCAGAAATTTCGGAGATTTCAAGTATTTGTGTTCTGAATTTTACGTTACTTCCTAGAATGATGTAATTTCAGAAATTTCTGAAATTTTCGCAATTACGTACTTACAGAAATTTCTAAAATTTTCGCAATTACGTACTTACAGAAATTTCTGAAATTTTCGCAATTACGTACTTACAGAAATTTCTGAAATTTTCGCAATTACGTACTTACAGAAATTTCTGAAATTTCGAATATGTCTAAAAACTTTTCACTTGCACTGCTATATAGTTATCGAGCTGATGGAAATTTCAGAAATGTGGGTAATTTCCTTTTTTGGAAATCTGAACATACCTCCGTTAAGAAATGATCTTCACAATTATTGATCATTTTAGTTTTAGAAAAACATCATTGTTACTTGATTCAACTATTTTCGACATAAATGGCAAGGCCTACAACAACTACAGCAACAACAGTAATTGGGTCGGATGACTCCGATGTAAGGAAATAACTAATTTTTAATGTAGTCATCTAAATGTTACAATCTAAACAATAGGATAAGGTGTTTCTATTTGTGGATTGGGCAAACACGTTTCAAGAAGCAGCAAAACAGCATGACCCAAAAAGATTTCCAAATCCTTCAATACCTGCAGTAAGTATTATGATTGGAAATGCATTAGAGTTTTCTAGTAATAATCTAATTAAAAAATCTCGTCATTGTAGCTCAATAAGAGCTGCGCTATAGCACTCACATACCTTCTTTAGCTTCGTAATCTTTATTTTATTACAAGCGTTAGATTGGCTGTTGAAAATATTCACTATGTAATTGCGTTTATTAAAGTGTATAATGAGAAGGGGAGATTCAGAAAGCTTCAACTTAAAACTTACGTTCAAGATTTTATTCGAAAACATATATAAGTTTCACAATATTGATTGATTAAGATCAGAAAATCCTAGGAAGCAATATATTTTCGTATGTCACATCTTTCTCAAAAGAAGCTGCTTTGAATCATAATGGACTCGTTCCTTTATGTGCTGCTCCATTTTTCTCAGGAAAATTGACGAAACTCCCGTGCATTCTGCCAAGTTTGATAATGATTTCTACATAAGATCAGTAGTATCAAACTTTGGCGTTGCATACTATTGGAGGTATGATTAGGGGTGTCAGTTTCGGGTTCCGTTCCTGGGAACGGGAACCCGCACCGAGTTCCGGGTTCCTAGGAACGGGAACCCGCACCGGGTTCCGGGTTCCTAGGAACGGGAACCCAGTTGAAAATTCATTTCTGTGCATTTTTGAACACACTAGAGTGCTTATACATACTTTTTCTTTCGTTTTGAGACGAGTCTCTCCGGGTTCCCAGGAACGGGAACCCGCACCGGGTTCCGGGTTCCTAGGAACGGGAACCCGCCCCGGGTTCCTAAGAATGAGGAACCACACCT